TGGTTACTCTCAATATTGGTCCTGAGGAGTTTATCTGTCCTGTATTCCCTGTGTGTCCAGCTCTTATCTGTAGCCATGTACATTCTCTGTTCTATCCAGATTTGTAAGGTAGAATTAGTTGGGGGGAGGAAGCATTAAAGAACCAGAAGAAAACTGTATGTTTCATCAATGCTATACTGCACAGTGACTGGCCATCTTCTCCCCACGACCCTTCTAGAAGGGGATGTCTAATTGCTTACAGATTGGCTTTGGACCTCTACTCCACACACATCCCCCTCATTCACATTATGATTTTTTTGCTCTGGGTCTTTGATACCTGATCCCTGATCTCATCGACACCTCATGATCAAATAGGCTGTGTGCTTCTTCCATGTGGGCTTTGTCGTTTCTCAGCTAGATGGCCACTTGTTTATCTCCAAGCTTTTAAGAACCCAGACGCTATATCTGTTGATAGCCAGGCACCATCAACTTTCTTCACCACATTTGCTTATAAACCCACTTTGTCTTCAGCAATCTTGTCGGAAAGGTGAATATCTCAGAGTGCTGGATTATTAGAACAAAGTGTTTTTGTGTTGAGGGAGTACTTGAGTAGAGGCCAAATTTCCACCCCTCCGAATAACTTTAACTAGTTCAATGAAAGATTTATATTCAGAAAACTATAGATTACTGCTAAAGAAGTTAAAGGAAAACGAAATAAATAAGGCATCTTTCCTCCTTAGAAAATTCACTATTGTTCAGATGTCAATTGTTCCTAAAGCAATCTTTGGAATCAAGGGATTACCTATCTCAATTTCAATATCTGTCTTGGCAGAAGTGGAACTAAACGATCTTGCAAAAGTAGAACAGAGTAGGGTCAAACACACCTCCCAATCTCAAAACATACTTGAAGGATATATACATCCAAATAGTCTGATACTGTGAATAATGACAGCCTTGTTGACTAATGGAATACAATTGAGATGCTAAAATAAGCCTACACATCTCTGGTTAATGGGGAAAGAATAGCGTTACTGTGATAAACATTGAGACGCACTGGTGTTGGCGCAATGATTAAGCACTCAGCTGCTAAAAAGTTCAGTAGTTCATACCTAGCCAGCAACTGCACAGGTGAAAAACCTTAGAGGTATGCTCCAGCAAATATCACAGCCTAGAAGCCACCTGGGTCAATCCCATTAAGCTGAAATTGACTTGTTGGCACCCATCAACACACAGAAATTGTTCAGGAAGGACTCATTTTCTGCATGGAATAAAACAAATCTGGATGCAGACCTCTCACTCTACGTGAAAATCAGCTCGAAATAGATTAAAGACCTAAATGTAAGCCGCATAGCCCTAAAACTCTTCAAAGAAGACAAAGCAATAATAACTCAAGACATTGTATTCATTAGCCATGTTTATAATGTCTTGTCTCTTATAATAATTAGGTTTTGTATCAACTTGCCTGCGTCAGAATTCTCAGTGGTTTGGCAGTTAAGGCCTAGAATTTTCACATGGTGTGATATAACCCCATGTAATCCACTTCACCATAAGACCTGTGAGCATTCAATTAACTGTCAAAATATTAGGGTAGAATGCTTCTCCAGATCACAGCTCTGAAGCAAGTGAAAGGAAGTGTCCTCAGAGACAAAACTTGGTTCCTGCATGTGGAAAATTTTACTTCCTTTTTGCTGGGACTGGGTCCTGCATTTGGCTCATTGACCTCAGGTTCTTGGGACTTGAGCCAATGGCCTGTCATATTGCCAGATGATTCTGGAACTCATTTGACCTACCATCTGATTTGCTGCTATTAGATTTATGCACATATGCAACCACCAACTAGCCAGGGGTTTCCCCAAAGATCTTGGGTTCATTAGCCTTCAAAGCTACCCAAGTCAGAAGCATGCTCCCACTTTAACATCTGAGCCACAAACTTGAAACTTCTCTACCTAGGTTCAGACTAGCCTGTATCTACAACTGCCAGCAATTTTATTGATATAAATTTTCTCTATATAGAGATATATGTGTCATTTGTTTTGCTTTTCTGGAGAATCCAGCCTAAGACAACTCTTTAACCTCGTGTTTAAGACTCTTTAGCTTTCCAGTCCTGATGGTTATACGTGTTATGCCCTGCAAAAGGTGGGCTCCCAGCTCTGTGGAGTTCCACACGATCTTAAAGCTCACCCTCCTTCTGCAATTCTGCAGATAATGGACTAGTTAAATTTACTGAGCAAAGAGGGGCTTTTTTGTGTGAAGGGAAGTGTTTGATTTTGTATTTTCCCCCTCTTCTTGATGAAAATAAACTGGACTTCTTTCCTCAGATTCCCTCTGAGAAAGTTTGTGTTTTCCCCGATATTAGCAGATCTAAATTAATAACAGTGGTTTAGAAGTAGCAATATATGCATACTTTTCACATAATCCTCTGAACAACCACGTGAACACGTAGAACTCCTTGAAAGAATGAGATCAATGACTTACTGGATAATTCCATCCGGGTTAAAAGGAACTATGGTATCTTTGCAAATGAATAAGCAAAACTAAACGATGACTTCAAGTCAATGTAATGTAGGGAGTTTTGGCCAAAGTATAGCAAACAATAGATATGAGATAAAATTTGCAAAAATAATTTGAACTCTTATAGCTATGTCACTAATTATAACTATGTCACTTATTATAACTATGCCACTAATTCTGTCAATTAATGGAGCCATTAGAATGGTATCCTCAGTTTTTCAAACATATAATTCAACAGCTTCAATAGCTAATATAACATCATGACTTTTCTGAGCAATGACTACTATATTATTTTGAGCAGTTGGAAAACACATATTTATTAAAATTTTAACTAAAATTATCTGTTACAGATTATCCTAATCATAATTGTATCTTGATGTCAAATCAGGCCAACTATAGAAAATAACATGGAGAATGATACTGTTTTTTATTGCAGACATCTATAATAATATATCATTTTTGAATTACACATTGATTTATTTTCAAGCAATATAATTCACCAGCTTTACAACTTATGAATATGAAATAAAGACATAGGGGAAAATAACAAAATTCAAAGTATAAAAATCTAAAGATGTTTTGATTTTTAAGACTAATCATCTAGCCAAGTATATTTAGTAACTTAAAACCAAGTATATTTAGTAACTTAATAAATATTTAGTGCTATAAAATTAGGTAAGTAAACATCTCTCAGGTATTCTCTGCATACAACCTAGCTCCATCTGAGAGCAGTAATATTGTCCCTCATGCCATTCCTCTTTTGAATCTGCCTTGAATTTCTAGCAGCTCTCTCTCGAAGTATGGGTGTAACCCTTGTTGAATTATATTCATAAAAATTATAGTTGCATATGATATTATTCAATAATTTCTGCATTCTGATAGGTCACCTCTCTTTGAATGGCCTCCCAAAGTTCTCCCAGTGAGCTATCTTTCAGCTAACTCCCTCGGGGTCTTTCTTTCAACTATCTTGGCTCAGATGATGGAGCGTTTCACTCCCTAATCAACTTGATGAGACATTTCAATTGTATTCTGGAAGTAATGGAGCCTTGTTTTTCACTAATGCCTTCAGTGGAACTTGGGTATCTTCCTTAAGTACCCTCAGTTCTTGATCATAAGCTACCTCGTGAAATGACTGAATATTGGCCACTGTTTGGATGCAGTGAATCTGTGTATTCCGTCTGCTTTTGATGCTTCCTGCATTGCTGAATATTTTGCCCATAAAACCAACCAACCAAACAAACAAACAAGCAAACGAAAATCGAACTCATGGCCATTGAGTCGATGGCAATGCCTAATGACCCCATGGAATCCAATAGCAAGTCTGGCTAGACCAGAAGATGTACACTGGTACAGATAGGAACTGAAAATACAGGGAATCCAGGGCGGATGAGCCCTACAGGACCAGTGGTGTGAGTGGCGATACTGGGAGGGTAGAGGGAGAGTGGGTAGGAAAGAGGGAACCGATTACAAGGATCTATATGTGACCTCCTCCCTGGGGGACGGACAACAGAAAAGTGGGTGAAAGGAGACGTCAGACAGGGCAGGATGTGACAAAATAACAATATATAGATTATCAAGGGCTCATGAGGGAGGGGGGAGCGGGGAGTGAGGGGAAAAAATGAGGACCTGATGCCGAAGGCTTAAGTGGAGAGCAAAAGTTTTGAGAATGACAAGGGCAGTGAATGTATAAATGTGCTTTATACAATTGATGTATGTATGGATTGTGATGAGTTGTATGAGTCCCTAATAAAATGATTAAAAAAAAGAAATTCAAATAAAAAAATTAAATTAAAAAAAGAATCCAATAGTACTACTTGAATTTTTTCTTCATTTCTTTTCAGCTTGAGATACATGGAGCATATTCCTTCTTTGTTCTCTACTCTCGGGTGTTTGCACATTTCACTAGAATCGTTTACTTGGTCTTCACAGTCTGCTTTTGAAATTTCTGCTCAGCTCTTTGGACTTCATCATTTCTTCCATCAGCTTTAACTATTCGATGTACAAGAGCAAGTTTCAGAGTTTCTTCAGACATTCAGTTTGATATTTTCTCTCTTTCTTGTCTTTTCAATAACATTTTGTTTTCTTCATATATGATGTTCTCATGTCATCGTGCCACTCATTTTAGAAAGTTAATTTAATATCATAAATTTATCAGAAAAAATTCCTGATAACTAAATATGCCATATTATAATGCAGCTAATTAATACTACACAGATTTATGTTTCTAGTAAAGCTAATTCTGTGAAACATAATATGAAATTATGTACTTTGTTACAGAGGACAGTTTAACTCTGTACCAATATCATATCTATAAGAGTGTATAATTTTACTTAAATATTTCTATAAAATCTAAAATCTTTGTGCAGTATTATTATAGTGTACTTACATTGCTATAGTTAATGAAACAGTATCACTAAATCCATTCTAACATTTTTATTGATGAAAACATATCTATAAACTAGCTATAATTTTTTTCTTTAAAGAATGTGATTGTTAATGATCCATGACTTTCAATGAATCATGAGGCTTCCAGGTCTTTGGATTGGTGAAGGACTTCTTGTTTGACTAGATATCCTGCAGGTTCTATATAAAAGTAAAAGTAAACATTAATGATAGGGCATTTTAATGATTTTACAAACATCTTTGTGGCTTACATTTTTAAAGGAGTTAATATAAACTCAGTCCCTGGAGGCGGGGTACGGGAATCAGTTTCTGAATGTGAAATCTCAATAGTAGAATAATTCCTGATCTTTGCAAGGACAAGTATACATTTAAATGTGCTTTCCAGGTAATCATTTTCAAGGTTGAAACAGAGAGGGATCCTGTTTTATTCTCAAACTATTGGTCTCACTACAAACATCATAAAAAATCTGAGGTTTTTTTTAATTTCATATAAAACCCAACAATGTAAAACTCCGAAACTTCACTCAGAGAGTGGTGACATATGCCGGGCCTGACCACCAGAAAATAACAGCAAATGTTCCACTAGGAAGGCATTACTTATCCTGTAGTTTGGGAGTAAAACACTTTTGTCATTGATGATGCGTTTGCTATGTTTTCTTTTGTTTTTGTTGTTTTCCCTCTGTGCCAACTTTTTCATTGTTTACAGAATTTTGAGTCTACAGTTTTCAATCGATTGCGACCAATTTTAAAGAGGATGAGACCTAATGGTAATTGTAATGTACTCGAGAGTATGAATGATTGTCTTTTGAATCCATACTACAGTACATTCAAGACTTTCATCTATAATAATAACACGTCCACTGTCATCTTGAAAAGTGATACACCATTATGTGCTGGAGAGCTGGGAAGTGAAAATATGCTAACACCCAGGGAATAATGAATGACCTAAACCTTTTCCCTGTTCACTGTGTCCCACATTTATGTTTAGGATTCACCAGCTTGTGTGTGTGTGGCCGGTGTAAACTTTACAATTGTGGGTGTGGCTAAGAAAAAATTAATTGAGAGATTTTTGCTAGACCAGAAAACAATCTGTATTCTGAAACAACACTTGTGATGAAATATATAGACAGACACAGTAAATGAAGGGGGTCATAATATTTTACCAAATAAAGCAAAAGTTAACAAATTCCCTCTTAGAGCCATACTAATTTTTTTGCCCTATAATGAGCATTTTGACGCTCAGGAACTATCTTTTCATTCAAATATAACCTCAGGGCATTGGATTTTTTTATGGAATAAATGTTGGGAATTGACAAATTAAACATTCAGAGAGTTCGTTCCAACAAATACTGCACTTGCATTTAAAGTGTTTTAATGTCAATAGGCGGTGCACATACTTCAGATATGCCTTATGCTTCTTAACCTCCTGATTCCGTTCTATCTCCTTGCTCTTCAAAGTCTTTTAGTTTAACATTTTTGCATCGTATACTTTACTGAGTCTTTAAGTTTTGTGAAATAAGAGATATATCTAGTACCTCTGTTCCTTTCTAGACAAAATATTACAGGCAGATATGTTCATGTGAGTGTGAATGTGTGTGTGTTCTTCAGTAGCATGTATTATATCTAAAATATGCACACATGTGCATACTGAATAAGAAAATGACTTTGAAATCATTTTGAAATGGGATTAATTATATTTTTCTTAAGGATCAAAAGTAAATTAGGGAACACCTTTGAGATCTGTTTTCAATGCTAAATAAGTAAAAAAATTCAAAATTTTAGTTAGAAATTTAGAGGTTGGTGTCTCTTTCATCTTAAAAATCCCACATGCTCTCTGAAACATAACTACAATCCAACAATGAAAGTCTCCAAGGCAAAAGGTAGATTTAAAAGGAGTAAATTAATGTCCAGCAATAGTAATGAGTCTTTCTGGCATGTACCCTATGTGGCCTCATTAAATGTCTCTTTCTATAAGTAAATGTTATAATATGAATAAATCCATTAGTGTATGTAAAATTAGAGTGACAAATATTCAAATAAATATAAACTGTATGAAGTCCACAGCAGCTACACTATGTGAATTTATTCATGCTGCAATTGATTTGGAAATGATACAATATCAAAATCCCATTTGGATTTTGTAAGAAGTCCAGGGCATGGTTAATAATAGTTGAATTTGGGGAACTTACCCCACATAAGCAGTATTAAAATGCAACACAAGAAAAAATACTCTGCTCACATTTTCCTTACAGAGGAAAACTGAGAGCTATCGTTCCATGGACTTATCCCACATAAAGAGTCTTTTAGTGTATCTTAATGGTGTCTTCGGTCTCAGGCCCTTTTAAAACTCTACCGTCATAAAATGTACTTTCCCATGGCAACGTGATTCCCTTCCAGGCTGGCCCAGTCTCCCCTTACCTCAGTTTCAGAAGAATCACAAGGAGGGTTCCACAGGTGACCGTCATGCACATGAGACTGTAGACGACGTCTCCTAGGAGAGAGTGATGGCACACATAAAGCACTGCATCCTTAGAAAGAACGCTGGACAAAAATAGTTTACAGCATTAATTTTTAACTGACCATTGAAAGAGGAATGTAATCCAGTTAGTGGGAGATCCTTCGGGGCTTCTCTTTGATACAAGGCAATGCTTTTGATGTTGGACAGGCTTGGATAATCTGGGAGAAAAGAAGGAAAGCCCAATGAATCCAGTTGTTTAAAGGTCATCCATTGTCTTTACCCACTGATTAGCTCTTAAGCAGCAATTGATTTCCGTGACAATTTCTAAATCAAGTCCGATCCATTTGCGGGCAAGTGGAAACCAAAAGATTGGGGGCAGGCACTGCCACCATAATGGATTCCAACTGCAAAGTCTAAATCCTCATGGGAGACAGAGTCTGCACATTCTCCTTGGAGATGCTGCTGGGTTTCAATGCCGAAACTCGCAGTTGGTGATGCACTCTTACCCAACAGTGGCACCAGTAGTGGCAACATATTTCTGATGAGAGGTTGATTTTCCCCTTCTCAATCAGGTGCTTTCCTTAACAATTAATTATTTGGGAAAGCGTGCTTACGTAAAACTTGCTAAGAAAAGGAGGGCGAGACGTTTGCCCAAGCTCAGAGAATGCCATCAACATCACTGCATTGTACACGTAGAAGTATCTGAATTGTTGTGCTTTGTGCTGTGTATATTTTCAACCATAACAAAAATTCATATTTAAATTGCAGGATGTAAGACAACTCACTTTATCTTCGTACTGAAGAAAATCCACCCACTGAGTCTACACTGACTCCCAATGACCCAATCAGGAAGAGTAGCTCTGAGCCTTAGGGTTGCAGACTTTGTAGTTCCTTAGGGAAGTGCACTGCCATCGTTTTCCTCCATGCCGCAGCTGGCGGTTTTGAACCACCAACCTTATAACTAAGCAATCCAACGCTTAACCCACAGTGCTACCCGTGCTTGTACAGAGACTAGAAACCTCTTCAAAACTTATAGCGAGACTAGAAATCCACACACACATTCACCAAGAGAGTAACTTTTGTCTATCCATCGAGGTGTTGGAAAAGATTGGTGTGTTGCCTCAGATGCTTGGGTCTGTGGCAGTGGGGATGTGACTGGCAAAGGCCCCTGGAGAGCTGTGAAGGTCGGCTGTGAGCCTCACGGACCACGTGGTCCTGTGGGCCAAGAGCTGGACAAGGAGAAGAAACCCAGGTTGATAGGAAAATTAAACAATATTGTTTTATTGCTGTTGTAAATGTAAATGTCAGTTGAAATACTAAATAGGTGGAGTGGATGTTTTTAAGTGAATTCAGAATATACGGGATAAAATTTTCATTTTTTTACAAATTCTATGCTTTCAGGTGATGTTCCAGGTCTAGATTTAAATTTATATAACATACACAGCAGATTGCTTGAATTACGCTCATGTTTTAAGAAATTCTATTCCTAAGTACATTGCCTGGTTAGGCATTACTATTCATCTTCATATAAGAAAAAAAAATATATATATATATATATATAATCAAGCGTTCATGTAGGTAGGAGGGTAGCGTGCAATACATAACTACCTAGATTACTTGTTAAATGTTCACCTAGCAAAGTTTTGAGAGAATGGCCTTATTCACAAAATTTCAGGCACATGGAATTCATTCAGCCAAGTTATAATAGATCAATGACAGAAATGCTAGCTAATGATCCCACTGCAAATTTAAAAGGTTCCAGCAATCACTCTGCAATCTTAAATATACACCCTTGGAGGATACCAAATATTAGTTAGAGAGATTGATGTTAGTTAGGAATCTTGGCTACTGAGGCCCATTGAAGAATTGTCCCTGCCTTTTATAAACAGTGTATTTTACAGCATTTTATATCCATAAAATTAAAGTCGGCAGAGTTGATAACTAAGCTCAGTCCCACAGCATCTGCTATATTTATAGGAAATCACAGCCAGTGACTTGTTTATCTTAACCCGGACTCTAGAGGAATTAAATGCTATTATAAACTACATTGTAAAATCCCTGTACGTTTGACAGGAAATCAAGATTAATTTCAACCACGCATCAGGAACACATTTAAATAAGATTCTCCTCTGATGAGTGGCTGAGACGTGATACTACTGATTTTTTTTTTCCCCTCAAAAACCCATGCACAACAGTGTTCGGGAGCTGATGGAGACTTAAAGCCTCTCTCCAATCCACGTGCAATGTTGAATGCATCATGAGAAGAGCAACAGAGCAGGTCAAAGTCAGTGATTTAAAAATTGCATGTCAGAAAGATTGATACAGGAAATCTGGGACGATTTCAGCATAAACAAGTTCAGAGCATTCTCACCACCCCCATCCCCCCCCAAATAAAAACAAAACAAGAAATGCAAACAGTGCTCAGTTTTGAGGAACTAGGAATTTGGGAGTAGAACAAAGGGACAGAGAGCTACAGACAGGCAACAATCAATAAGTCAACACGTTTCTTATGGTAAGAAAATAGTTTCTTCAAGCAAACCTGCCACTACCCCAGCCATTCACCCTTTTAAAACCAACAGGCCAGCTGAATCCATTCTGTTCTGTCCTCTCCATGAGGACTACGGAGTGAGGCTGCTGTGGCTAAGCAGCGAGCATCTTCAGTAGAGGTTATACCAGAAGCCAACACACTCCATGGCAACAGGTGGAAGGCAGAACTCTGCAGGGGCCCATTTAGAGTGTGACAGCGCCTCCCCTTACTGGAAACTATTGACTGCTGAATGGATATGAATACCTACAGCGGGGTCCTTACAGTGCAATCCAGAGGCAGGGTGCTAAATAGAGACTGCTCAGGGGCCACTGGGTCTCTGAAATCAATGTCAGGTCTCACAGAAGTGCTTCTGAGGAGGAACAGAGGAAATCAAACTTCTATCTGTGCTTCCTCTGAATTATAGCTCCGCCACTGTCTCTTCTTTCTTGGGGACAGTGACGTCACCTTCTCCAACTCTAACATGGCTCAATTAGAGCCAGCAGGATGGCAAAACTGACAAACCCTTGCATTAGGCTCTATACACCTGATATTCATTATCCCACCCACAGGAGTACCATGCACCTTATTTACATTATTAGCAAGCTTGTCGTGGGCCACAAGTGCCTCACATGTGCGACGCCTCCCAAGTCATTTGGTGGGAGTTACAAAGACTATGGCCAGAAAGTAAGTAACTTACTGCAATGAAATAGGGCCTGGGAAATTAGATTTCCACATACAGAAGAATGAAATAGAATCCATTCCTCACATAATACATTTAAAAAATAAAATTTAAAGGGATCAAGGGCCAAAAGGTGAAAATTAAAATCCTAAAACTCTTAGAAGAACTAGCAGGTGGCAGTGCTGCCAGGCTTAGCTTTCAAGAGTGGATTAGCTATATACAATAACAAAATCACAAAGAGCAAAGGATTAAATAAATAAATGAGAACACAAAGATTTTGAAATTTTTGTCCATCAATGGGCTTTACCAAAAAAGTGAAAAAATAAGCTACCATCTAGAGGAATAACTTGGAACAATATATATTCAACAAGAATTCAATAAGCCATGGGAGCAAATGAAGGGGGAGCAAGAGAGAGTGGAGCACATCCTGGCCCACAATGCAATGAGGATGATATTCCCACTCAGAGCAGTCAATCCACAGAGAAGACCACATGGCCGGCCCCACTATGAGACACAACATCCCTCATTGACCCATAGCCCTATAGGGGACAACACTAGAGACACAGTGTGGGAATGCCACCTGATCTGATCCCACCACACCAAGGCAAATCACTAAGGGCGTGGAACAGAACAGCAAGGGAAACAGAGCAACAAAGTCCCCAGGGAATAACAAAAACAGATTTGGGGGCCAGGGCTTGGCACCCCAACAGACTCAACTGGAAAACACTCCTTAAGGCCAACAGACAGTCTTTGAACTAACTACAAGCTTTTCTTTCTTGCTTGTATTTTGTTTTGTTTTTTTTTGTCATTGGCTTGTTGTTGTTGTTTTGTTTTATTTTGTTGCTTGGTTTTGCTCTGTCTCGTTTTTGTGTATGTTATTATCTCTGCAGGGCTGTCTAAATAAGATAGGCTGGATGAACAATCTGGAGGAGAAAACAATGGGACCGACAGTTCCAGGGGGACATGGGAGAGGGGGAGGTGGGGGGAAAGGAAATGGTGTTAACAAACCCAGGGACAAGGGAACAACAAGTGATCCAAATCGGTGGTAAGAAGGGTGTAGGAGGCCTGGTAGGGCATGACCAAGGGTAATGTAACCCAGAGGAATTACTGAAACCCTAATGAAGGCTGAACATGATAGTGGGACAATAGGAAAGTAAAAGGAAATAGAGGAAAGTGGTTGAAGGGAAAGGGCATTTATAGAGGTCTAAATACAGGCATATACATATGTAAATATATTTTTATATGAGGATGTGGAAATAGATCTATGTGCATATATGTATAGGTTTAGTATTAAGGTAGCAGATGGACATTGATTGGGCCTCCACTCAAGTACTCCCTCAATGCAAGAATACTTTGTTTTATTAAACTGGCATTCCATGATGCTCACCTTCCCAACACAATCGCCGAAGACAAAGCGGGTGCATAAGCAAATGTGGTGAAGAAATCTGATGGTGCCTGGCTATAAAAAGATATAGCTTCTGGGGTCTTAAAGGCTTGAAGGTAAAGAAACGGTCATCTAGCTCAGAAGCAACAAAGCCCACATGGAAGAAGCACACAAGCCCATGCAATCGTGAGGTGTTGAAGGGATCAGGTATCAAAGAACAAAAAATCATATTGTAAGCATTTAAGACCTCAAGAGCTATGCATTGAACTAGGAGGCAGAATAGAACCATGAAATATGTATTAGACCAATTCATCAGAACTTCTGATGAAACCATGACCCTAAATCTACAAATCAAGAAGCCAAATAACATGAGCTACTTGGTTATACCTAAACAGCCTCAACAGCTACATTTTTTAAAAGAAATTACCCCATTGTCAATGTATCTCTTACATGACTTTTGCTAATATAACTTTTTAAAGATGTACAGTCATGGATAACAATTGCCATCATTGACTGAGAAATCCTACTCTTAAGCAATGCACTTTTGTCATTACTTTTTTCATCATTACTAACCTCCCTTTCTCCTCTCCCACTGCCTGACATAGCCACTAACAAACTTTGGTCTATA